AGCTTACTTTTACGCTTCCTGTATCCGACTACAGCGTCTTGCTTTACTTCATCCTCCTTCAGAGCATTCCCACTGGACTCAACCATTCCTTCAGCATCTTCTCGGCAATGCGCACTACCGAGACGACATGACTGCTTGACAGGAGAGACAGTACGATGCCCACACGTGCCCTCCTGTCTGCTCAGTTTCTTCTACGGGAGTACCCCCTTTCGAACTGAGCATGCTTTCCAGTGTAAAATCACACAGGGTCTCAAGGACTTACCCAATCCGCCAGCCGTCGATATCGAGACTAGACGGGGGCGAGGCCGCTGCCTCATCACATGCTACTTCTCTATCGTCAACTTCCAGTTTATTCTCGGTCGTGTCGTCACTGGCATCCCTACGAGCATTGTGGTTGAAATGCTCTATGGCGACTGACCTTACGGAGATCCCTTCGGACTCGGCAGCGTCGCCGTCGAATCGCCTGCGAAAAACGACAACAGCGATATACATCGAGAACTTGGCGATTCATCCCAAGAACCCACGGGGATTCCTGTAGTTTCCGAAGGCTTCGTGTCCTTCACCCTCAGCATCAACCGCAGCAAGAGCGCCAGAGTCCATGCCAGCAGGCAAATGTAAGAATACAACTTGTGGAACGAGCAGTGAACGCGGGAAGGGTACATTTGGATTCCAAAAGTACCCAAAATTTGGAACAAACTTGGTAAACTCAACGATGCAGGTTTCGAGGGAAGCGCTGATGCAACTCTGCGCCTACTACAACGTTATGCTTGTGAGCACGTAATAGAATGAACTCACGCAATGGACCACATCCAAAACGTACAGACCTCCACTGACTGCCGAATTCACAATGGTTAGCACTCCATTCAGCAACGCTGATATCTCTGTATGCGCCTGAAAGGGAGAGAGACTGCCAAGAAGTTCCCACGTAGTGGATCTCCGATACTAGCTGACCATCAACTGCGATCATTGAAATGACATGGGGAAGTCTTGGAAGCAACAGCATGTTCCATCACCGACGCAAACCACGGGCAGGTGTTCTGCTGTGCGCATGGGTTATGCTTACCTTGGAATACGACATCTGAAGTTCCCGTTTCTCGGACTGTGAACGAACACAGGAACGACGGACAGGGTGCTTCCTTTAGGCGAGCCGCCGCGTATCACAGTTGATGTAGGCATATCGCGTGCCGAGAATATCGTCGTACACTCCGGAGTAGGAAGTAGTGAGAGCCTTCAGAATATTGAGTGTACTGTTGTCATCTGATGAGGAAGGAAAGGAATGACCGATGAACATCTTTGATGTTGAATTTTCAGTCGATACTCAATTTCATCCCTTGGGTCGAATGTGATCCGACCCAAGCGTCAATTTCAGAATATACTCGATTAGGAAATTATTATGTAGAATGGGTCTCGAGTCGATCCGGCAGATCAAGCGGTGTCATTCTCACGAAGAGTATCCCACCGTTAAACTGAAGCGATAGGAAGCCTCAGTGAGGATCCAATAACGTAACATCAACTCAATCCCTCGAACAGTAAAAATGTTGATGTCATCAACTTAATGAAATAATAAGAAGGTATCCGCTATGTATTGTGCATTTGCGAATCGTGACTCATCATGAGTCACTCATGACTCAGTAAGGGCCGGAGTCTCGCCGGAGTGGCCCACTCCGAGTGGGCATGTATCGCACAGTGTGATCCACACTCGACAATGTGATATGATCCCGTACTACAGGACCTCTGGCAATCAATCTCAGTTGCAAAGATGGGGAAGCATACATCTGCCGGAATCAGTCTGGTTTAAAAAGAGCACGATAAGTCTTTCGCAGTTATTCGTGCTCTCTGGCACTGCACCACATAGTTACATCAAATCTGAACAGGCACTAGGTAGTCATTGGTTTTCATTATGCTCGTTCCGCCTTCGCCAATCTTGCCTCCCCCGAGTGGCTGGACTATGGATATGCTTTTCCCGATACTGACGCTCTATACCAATATAACCGGACGCTCTCGCCATGCTTCAAATGATGACGAAGACGACATGCCTGAGCGAATCTCCGCGAATAGTATGAAGCTGTCATAGCCAATCTCTGTGATGAGTAACGAACTTGAATGGTGATGAATGCAACGCTTTTCTCTCGGCGAGAGCTTTTCGCTCCTAACTGAAGTCTTTAGATAATGCGGCAAGATACTCTTAATCTAAGAATACCTTAACTCACTAACCAACACACGCTCCTGAAGGCGCAACCTCTTGTGCCTGCGAGTAGACAGTGTGGCAGTTGGAGGGAAA